CAGATGATATAGTGCTAGAATGAGTGAGAGTACCGGTTCAAGTGTCTGCTGCACTCCGCCTACATAATGTTATTCACCAAGAGCATCGACATGTAAACATACGCGGTTTGATATATTCTAGCTGCGTACGGAGCTAACCCTATAACTGACAGCGACTCACTTGCAATAAAAACATTATTATCAGTTGAGGTCAACTTCTACTATTTCGTGCGATAGATCACTAACAGCGCGCGTAGCCTCCTTAAATGCCAGTACAGTGTATTTCGAGGGTATTCCGAGAAGCGGATACAGCCGTTCTAGAAAAATGCCTTAGTATTCTCGTCAGTCTTACACCACCGCGCCACTCTTCTAAGTCTTTTAAATTATTTGCTGCAAGTTAAGAGCAGATCTAAATGGAATCCCTCCATCCTGATATTCGCCGTAACCTCACCTATACCGAGAACTTTGATTGTGTGGGTATTCTTAACTAATACCCGTAGCAAGAGGGTAAGCAAATTAGCTTGAAATGTACACATATACAGACTATCTAGGTAGCACATTCCGATGGAGTGTGAAGCCAGTGGTTTTCGTTTCTTGTTTGTGAGGCTTGGAGCGAGCGAGCCTAAGTCAGAGTCTGACCTCTCGAGTGAGCGGCACAGCTTCCCGCGTGTCTCACATGCTTCTTTCTCATATGTGGGGACTCATCTTAATCTTACAACTTCTCACTGACTGTGCCATGCCTTTCGCTCGCTATCTGTTTTGTTCTCTCTCTCTCACTCTTACTAAATCTCGTGCTTTCTTTTAGTCTGCCTATCTATCTCTGCCATCCTTGTTTCTCTCTCTCTCTCTCTCTTCTTCTCTCTCTCTCTCTCTCAGCTACTGTTGTCAGCTACTAACTTCTTCCTTTGCACTCCACGACTCATTATGATACAGGTTGTCTCTACTCATATTTCATTCAGCTCGTCTTAGCTACTATCTCTGTCTTATCACTCTGCTCTTTCCTTCTCTTCCTGCACTCTCTTTCGCTCTCACTCAGTCTCTTTCGCTCTCTCTCTCTTTCACTCTCGTGGTCACATTCTCGCGTCGCTTCTCACTGTCACTTCCTATATCCTCCTTTATCACTTGCATCGCATTCTCTCTTTGGACCTTCATCCTGCTTCTCTTTTCACTCACATTCTCTCGTCCATACGCACTCTTCTATTTCTCCTCTAATGTCGCTCTACTACATCTTCTCTTCACGTCTCACCTCACTCTAAGCGACATAGTCGACATACTCATCAATCTACGAAAGACACAATCTTCCTCTCCTTCTCCTCTCCTCTCTCTCTCTCTCTCCTCGATACTCTCTTCTTTTCCTCTTCTATCGCACTCGATGTTGTCGTATCTCTCTCTCCTCTCTCGGCTTTTCGCTAATAATCCTCTCCCTCCTGTAGCTTCTCACTCCTCTATCCTATCGGCGCCCATCAGCTCACATCGCTTTCTACTTTCGAGGAATTTTATACCACTCTCACTTATACTCTGCGTCCCCGTTATCCTCAATACTGCATTGCGCTCTCAGTTCGTTACCGTCCAACTCCTCTCTCCGTAAATCTCTCTCTATCTGCTCTGTTATCCTTCTACTAGTCTCTTATATACAATCTCTTATCCTACCTCTCTACTACCACCTAGTGCTTCTCTCTCTCATCTTACTCATGCTCTCTCTGTCTACTACATAGCACCTCACAATTTCATTTCATTCACCCATCTCTATGCTAACAGCTGTCAACACCACACGCTCTCAACTTCTTTTATTTTCCCTTTTAGATCCTTTACTCCTTCGTCTGTCTACTCTTTCTTCATCGACTCATCTTACGTGAGTTCGTCCTCCTCGGTCCTATATCTCTTCTTTCCCCTCACCTTCTATCCTATTCTCTATACTATGTTTATTAGTATTTTCTGATCTTCCCCTAAATAGTGCGTTTTAATCAGTACTTATAATGTTAAATATAATCATTATATTATATACTACATCCATTTGTTATTAGAAGTTATTATCATGATTATGTAGTAATGGTTACTTACTAATGAGGATAATTATTTGTTTAAATAAGATAATTATTAATGTGGAGCATATTTAAGAAATATAATAAACATTATTTACTACAAGTTACATAGATCATCCAAAATTCGAGAAGCTCATTATTATTCTCTTAGACGTATTTAATTTCTTACAAATAAATTCACTAAACCTTTTAATTCACCTTATTTTGAATTATATTTATTTATTTTATATTCTTTTAAAAAAACTCAAGTGAAAGTAGTGTCCCATACTATACCTTACAATTACATTAAGTTTGTAGCTTTAGGTTATAGCCACTATGAGTTCTTAATCTTATTTTAAGACCACGACTCCCTTATTTATTTTTATTCGTTACATCTAACATAATAGAAAATCTGCTACCAGCCTTTAAGGAAAAATAATTAAAATGATGTTCTTATGAGAGTGTCTTAACTATTTGATGAGTATCGAGATTGACGATATCTAAACTAATATTATA